TCTTTCTGGCGTTGAAGTAGTCAAGAATTAAATATATTCTACTACAGTAATGGAAACAATAGTCGTACATTCAAGATATTCAAGATCTAGTAAAGTCAACTTATACAGCAATAACCAACTTCGCTATAAATCGATGAACTCACTCATACATCCAGTCATTTTTCTCCGGCTGTCGTTTTATCCAAGGCCGTGGATTGGCAACGCTGAGCCCCCGCAGGAGACTTGGGCATTTCCGGGACAGGGGATTTCACTGGGAACAAAGGGGCGGGAGGTAGAAAAAAATGGGATGTAACCGTGTAACTAATCATTAACTAGTTCAAATTCGTGAGTTCGGCGGGGTATGGACTGAAGCACACAATTGATGAAGTAGATTAGCATCCTCATAGAACCTGATCCAGTTTGTTTTGTCAAGAAAGGTGGCATAGTTTTGCCCCAACCGTATCTAAGATTTGGATAGATTTGGGTTGATGAGGACTTCCAAACACGCACTTTTTCGTCGGGCACGGCCCACTTAGGTGTTTTTGATACGAGGCACAGCCCATCCCTTGCCCAAATCGATCTACCGCAGGATCCAATCAAGGTGTCGCGGGTGGAGATCTACACACATATCATGACATCTTGCAAGTGGGGATTGCTTTCGTGGGTGAATCATCGCAAATTCTCGAAGCAACACATTTTTCACATTTTCTTTTAAAACAAGCTGTAAAATGCCGGGGCCATTTACCATTTTTCCCACATTTCTCACATGATCTTGCAGATCTGAACACAACGAACTACAGGTTACAGTGGGTTACAGGTTGATGGAGGTGTGCTTCCTCACCTCAGGTGCTGAGCTGACAGTCCTTGCCCCTGATGAATTTGAAGGAAAAACTGCCAAGGCTGTGAAGCAAGTCTTGGCAGTTAAGATTGATGTCACCGTTTTTAGACAAAGACTCTTTTCAGAAGATGGTTCCGAGATTCCGGATGATGCGATTTTTGCTTCAGCTCCGGTGAAGCTTATGATTGTGATCTTGGATTTTTTCCAAACTGATGCTCAGCACACCCAACGCATGATCTCTGCATCCATCAACAATGATTTGATTGAACTTGAGAGTTTGCTGAAAAAACCATTGAATCCAAATGTGAGAGACGAACATGGCACAACACCGTTGCACTGTGCCGCAGAAAGAGGACATGTTGAAAGCCTGCAGTTGTTGATTGAAGCAGGTGCTGAAAAAGATGAAAGAGACGAAGGACCTGAAGGGATGATGCCATTGCATGGCGCAACGCCATTGTTCATCGCAGCCGAGAACGGCCATCTTGGTGTCATTCGTCATCTGCTGGAAGTTGGTGCCCACAAAGATCAAGCCACGAACGATGGCGCAACGCCATTGTTCATCGCAGCTGAGAACGGCCATATTGATGTCGTTCGTCATCTGGTGGAAGTTGGTGCCCACAAAGATCAAGCCACGAACATGGCGCAACGCCATTGTTCATCGCAGCACAGGAAGGCCATCTGGATGTCGTTCGTCATCTGGTGGAAGTTGGTGCCCACAAAGATCAAGCCACGAACGATGGCGCAACGCCATTGTTCATCGCAGCACAGGAACGGCCATATTGATGTCGTTCGTCATCTGGTGGAAGTTGGTGCCCACAAAGATCAAGCCACGAACGATGGCACAACGCCATTGTACATCGCAGCACAGAACGGCCATGTTGATGTCGTTCGACATCTGGTGGAAGTTGCTGCGCTCAAAGATCAAGCCACGAACGGTGGCGCAACGCCATTGTTCATCGCAGCACAGCAAGGCCATCTGGACGTCGTTCGTCATCTGGTGGAAGTTGGTGCCCGCAACGATCAAGCCACGAACGGTGGCGCAACGCCATTGTTCATCTCAGCTCAGGGCGGCCATCTTGATGTCGTTCGACATCTGGTGGAAGTTGGTGCCCACAAAGATCAAGCAAGGAAGGATGGCGCAACGCCATTGTTCATCGCAGCACAGGAAGGCCATCTGGACATCGTTCGTCATTTGCTGGAAGTTGGTGCCCACAAAGATCAAGCCACGAACGATGGCGCAACGCCATTGTTCATCGCAGCTGAGAACGGCCATATTGATGTCGTTCGTCATCTGGTGGAAGTTGGTGCCCACAAAGATCAAGCCACGAACGATGGCGAAACGCCATTGTTCATCGCAGCAGAGGAAGGCCATATTGATGTCGTTCGTCATCTGGTGGAAATTGGTGCCAACAAAGATCAAGCCACGAACGATGGCGCAACGCCATTGTTCATCGCAGCTGCAAACGGCCATATTGATGTCGTTTTACATCTGGTGGAAGTTGGTGCCCACAAAGACCAAGCCGCGAACGATGGCACAACGCCATTGTTCATCGCAGCACAGGAAGGCCATTTTGACGTCGTTCGTCATCTGGTGGAAATTGGTGCCAACAAAGATCAAACGCAACGCCATTGTACATCGCATGTTGCGTTCGTCATCTGGTGGAAATTGGTGCGATCAAGCATGGCGCAACGCCATTGTACATCGCAGCACAGAACGGCCATGTTGATGTCGTTCGTCATCTGGTGGAAGTTGGTGCCCACAAAGATCAAGCCACAAAAGATGGCGCAACGCCATTGTTCATCGCAGCACTGCAAGGCCATATTGATGTCGTTCGTCATCTGGTGGAAGTTGGTGCCCACAAAGATCAAGCCACGAACAATGGCGCAACGCCATTGTTCATCGCAGCACAGGAAGGCCATCTGGACGTCGTTCGTCATCTGGTGGAAGTTGGTGCCCACAAAGATCAAGCCACGAACGATGGCGCAACGCCATTGTTCATCGCAGCTGCGAACGGCCATATTGATGTCGTTCGTCATCTGGTGGAAGTTGGTGCCCTCAAAGATCAAGCCACGAACGATGGCGCAACGCCATTGTCCATCGCAGCTGAGAACGGCCATATTGATGTCGTTTGTCATCTGGTGGAAGTTGGTGGCCAAAATGAAGCAACCATGGATATTGGGGTAACAGCCTTACATGCTGCGGCAGAAATTGGCCATGTTGAAATTGTTCGTTTTCTGATTGAAAGAGGTGCAGATGGTCACGCAACTACAAGCTGTGGAAGGACGGCTCTGGATCTGGCATCTCAAGGCGGTCATTCTGAGGTGGTCCGTTTCCTGGCAAAGATCCGGAGCGAATCGCCAAGCAAAATCCCAAGGCTTGGTTGAGAGACATCATGTGAGAGCAAAGAAGTTCCAGCAGCCGGCTCACCTTGGTGGCTTTTCAAGACAGACTTGTCAACAAGGAATTCCAAAAGATGACCCTTTCCTCAAACGTCTGTGGAGATGGTTTCTGTGATGCCCAAATATCATAGGCTTCTTGCAAGTCGCCTGCATCAGTTCCTAGACCCAACTCTTTTTGGAAGCTTGAGTTTGGTGCAGAACAAATGTCTCGGTGGTATTTAGAGGAACAGTATTGAGTTTGTTGCAGTGATCTTGCTCCCATCTGCTTCTATAGTGGGTCCAATGTTCGAACCAAACCGATTGCCTTTCAGTCTTTGATCGTACTGGTTGCTCCAAATTTCTTAGGACTAAGTGCCACAAGGGGAAAATGGATTCATGTGAGCCCCTTACCCCAGTGCTCCATGGTGCTGGAATATTTACAAGCAAAATTCCCCCCAAAATAGCCCAGTTATTTACGTCAACATTCACCATGGAGCATATGGGATAGTTATACCCCCGCAAACCAGAAGGTATCCCCACATTACTATGTATATATGCTCATGGACTGGTTGGTGAAATCCCATTAAATGCCATTAAATCCCATTAAATCCCATTAAATGGCTGTTAAATTCAAAGAATCCTCCCTTCTTGGTATCTGGGGTGTTAGGTTCCGAAGCCCACACCGACGCAAGGAGGCTGCGGTGCTACCCTGCTATCCGCACCTCTTCCAAATGCTGCAGGCGTGCCTTGGACAGATTTTGCATTGCAAAACATGGAGATTGCACCCAGGAAAAGTGGAAGTTGAAACTTTGAAATCCAGATTTCATCAAGAATCTGGGGATTTATATAATTACTACAAACAGCAGCCGAAAACGGCTTAACATAGCCAACAAAAGACGCAGAGAACTTGGGAAACCACGAAGGTGCAATGATTTAGTGAGCCTTGGACCATCTGGGATAAATTTGTGGAAAAAGTTAACGGGAAGCTGAAAGATTGGAACCCCAGCTTTGTTTTGTTTCCCATTTTCCCATATGGAGTCTGAAATGATGGACGTTGTTGGGAACTGAGGGAAGTTGAAGGGCTCAAACCCTAGGCCCAGTGGTGAACAAAAAAAACGTTTTTCTGTGGCTCATCTTCTAAATGTGAATTCCATTCTGATCATTCATGTTGTGCTTTTGGACCCTGTCTGCAAATGAACCATTCGCCGACCGATGCCATCACATTTTCACATCTCAATGGGATCATCAGCGGATCCCTTGAGCATAGCAATTTCGCAATGCAACGACCTGCAGGTCGATAAACGCCATGGAGGCATTTGCCACTTGCGTGTGAAAACAGCCGTTTGCACCATTTGCTCTGCCGAACAGCCGTTCACCAGTTGGTAGAGCGGAGCCCTGAACCAGGGCAAAGACCATGCCGATCTGGTCAGAGATGCCACGTCAGTTTGGTCCAAAGCTACGAGCCCAATATGCAGCTGCTAGTGAATATAGCTTGTCCCTTCATGATGACTGCAGTGGATCAGCTGGTGAAATTGACGACCCTGATGCCAGTTACACTGATTGGTTTCAGGTTGACGACGACGACAATCCTGGCATGACTCGTTGGGTGTGCGTAAAAATGTGGGAAGAGTAGTTTTGTGTGGAACGTGATAGCCGAGAACTGGACATGCATGGAATGTCATGGAGATCAGTTTTATGATGCCACGCGACCTGCAAGACACCACACACAACATGGTACATGGGTCTACATGCCTCATGATTCGCAGAGCCCTGTGAAGACGCTCTCATCACAGAAGACTGGAAGGCGAAAGGCGAGACGCCGTCGGCGACACCCTGCCGATCCACCTGATGATTTGATTGGCGACGGACAGGAAGAGACTGCTGAGTCTGAAGTTGCCACCAATGACCCAGTAATTGGTGTGACACCAGCTGGATCAGTGCGTGTGCGGGGACGACCACATCGAGCAGAAGCAATTCAGCCGCGTGTGGATGATCCTATTCAAGCATTGACTGCAGCACTCCAACAACTGGCAAATGGACAGACTAACCGGAGTTCAACCTCTAGTGATTCCTGGATCAGTGCTATGGGACCTCAACGTGGTGTGAAGTTTCGTGGAGGTGCACCACCGCAACCGCCTGCATGGAGCTATTCTGCCTCTGACATTCGTGCTTATGAGAAGTATGAGAGAAAGGTCAAGGTTTGGGAGTTGCAGGTTAAGCACTATATGACTGACGCTGAGGCTGCCCTCACTCTTTTCACTTCCTTGCGTGGTGAAGCTGAGCAGGAATTGGAATTTGTGGATGTCAACACCATCTACCGTAAGGGTGGTGTGGATACCATTCTGAGCCAGTTGAAACAAGCCTTTCAGCAGAAAACAGTGTACGTCAAGCGACAGTATCTGCACGAATATGAGTCTATCGGTAGGTATCCAGGAGAATCACTCCGAGCCTTCATCAATCGATATCGTCGTGCAGAAGCTTCCTTGCGTGCAATCAACATAGATATCAGTCTGACATACGATGATGAGAGTCGCAGTTCACGGTTGCTGGATCGAGCCCGACTGACCACTGAGAAGCAGAGGTTGATTTTGGTAGGTACAGGTGAAGCCCTTTCATTTGATGCCATTCGTGCGGCACTCGTGCTTCAGTTTCCGGAGCACAAGCCGACACCTCCTGTTGCTGGCCGTGAATCCAACAATGCTCCATATCAGCCTAAGGGATCTGGAAAGAATCACCAAGGTTCTACTTCGACTTCCTCATCCTCTACATCCTCAACTGGAGGTGGAAAGGGGAAGGGTTCTGGAAAGGGACCACGAAGAGTGTATCAGACTGAGACTATTCAAGAAGGTGATGAGAATGAGGAACAGGCAGAAGAAGGTGACAACGAAGTCCCCGCTGATGACCAGCCTGAGGAACAAGGGGATCCTGAATGTGAAGACGCAGAAGCAGAAGTACAAGAAGAGGATGCTGCCAATTTGGCTGAAGTTCTCGCCGTCACTGCTCGAAAGTTGGCGAATGTCACACAGGGCAGGAAATACTCAGGTCAGCCAAAGAAGAGCATCCAGGAGAAGAAACGGACTTCGATGTGTGCAGCCTGTGGCATCAAGGGCCATTGGGCTGGTGACCCAGAATGCGAGATGACACCGAACCAGCAGACAGACTCAAAGACTACATCCTCCAGTTTCACTTCATCCCAAAAGGGAAAAGACAAAGGTCAAAAAGGCCGTGAGGATTCGAGCAGTTCTGCCAAAAAGGTGATGACCGTTCACCACAGCTCAGGGTATGACACCACCGTCGAATACATGCCACCTCATGAACAACCTCATCCACATTTTGCTATGGTTTGCACTTTGCCACATGTTTGCCTGAGCACTTCAACATCTAAGACTTTTGGTTTCATGATCATTGACACGGCCTGCCAACGTTCTTGCTGTGGAAAGTCATGGGCATCACTGCAGGCCGAACATTTGGAGTCCTTCCGCCTCAAGATTCATCACGAGGCCAGCTCTGAGCGGTTTCAGTTTGGAGCAGGACCCCCAATGGTTTCTTTGGAGAAGATTTGGATGCCCAGTTCAATTCAAGGCTGCTGTTTGATTTTGGGAGTCGATGTGATTGATGCCAATCTGCCCCTGGAAGCACTGGCCAGCAAGGCCAAACCCAAGCCTGATTCGGGAACGAGGCAACCAAAGACCAGATCCAGGCCACCTTCTATGACATCCTCAGCGGCAGGCCATCTGCTCCGAGAGGAGGAACTCCAGGATGTGGATCAGGACATGGATCTACTCAGCCTATACAGCTGGTCGGACGTCGCAAGCGATTGACTGGTGATTTGAAGAAGAACATCAAGACCCTGGAGGCCGAGTTGCACGTCATGCAGCACATGCCATTCGAGCGCAACAACAAGAAGAATGCTGTTGATGTTTTTGAGCTGTTTGCTGGATCAGCCAAAGCAACTCGTATGGCAGGTCAGTATGGACTCAATGCCCTGGAACCCATCGACAAGAACGATGGCAAGGACCTCCAGGATCCAGTCATTCAGAGGATGGTTGAAGAGGCCATCGATCGCTTTTCGCCGCTCCTGCTGCTCATTGGATTTCCTTGCACCTTTTGGAATCTGATGAATGAAAACTGCAACTACAGCTGGAGAATGCATGAACTTGAAGCTTTGCGTGAACTTGAAAGACCTCTCCTTCGCTGGGTTGCAGACCGAATCAAACAACAGGCTTCGGCTGGCAGGTTCTTTGCCTTGGAGAACTCTGCCAAAAGCAGAATTTGGGATGAGCCTCCAGTGATTGAGCTCATGGACTTGCCTGATGCTCAGCTCGTCACTTTGGATGCAGGTGCCTTTGGAGCCACCGACAAAGATGGATTTCCAATCATCAAGACCCACAAATTCTTGGTGAATAGCCCTGCTTTGGCTCAGCTGCTTCACATACGTCTCAATGCCCAAGAACGCCAGATGTGCAAGCCACTGGAAGGTATCAGTGTGACCAGCTGGTGCGCACAATTTTGAGATTTGTGAAGCAGGAGGCCAAGAAGCTCAGTCCTTTGCGCTTCGAAAAGCCTTTCGAAGTTTGTTTTGCACAGCCTGTTGATGATGAAGATGCATGGCGCCGCATTTTGAATGAGGTCACCAACACCTTTGCCAACAGCTCAGTTCGAGTTTTGACTTTGCAGCCTGGCCAGGAGCTGTACCGAAAGATTGAGGAGATGGTGCCTTGGGAGATTGTCAGAGTGCAGATCGCCAAAACACCGGTGACTAGAAGACTTCCACGGGATATTCCTTTCACTCACCGTGGAGCTGCACTGCTGCACTCCGACGAAGGCATGGCGCTGGAGGCTGAGGACCTCAGCAATGTGGCATTCCCCAAGCAGCGCTTTAGCAAAGCTGTTCAGTCCGCTGTCTTCTTCTTTGGACTTGCAGAAGATGACAGCAAGAAACAAGCGCTAAGAACAGCCGATGATGCTGAAGAACAGGAAGGTCCCCATCTGCCGGTCCCTGGACTTAAGACCGATGTGACCTTCCCTGGTGCTTCAAAGACTTTGCCAGCAGCAGTCAAGGCCTCAGTGGCTCGACTTCACCTCAACACTGGCCATGCCCATAAGAAGGAGCTCATTCGACTTCTCTCCTCCTATGGGTCAATCAATTCAGCCACTTTGACTGCCATCAATCACATGGTTTGTGGTTCATGTGAACGAACCAAGCCACCAGCACCTCCTCGCCCAGCATCCATTCCACAGTTCATGGGCCAATTTGGAGAACGAGTTCAGGTTGACATTGTCTACATCCGAGATCTTTCTGGATCGAATCATCCTGTGCTCGGAATGGTTGACATGGCCACCCTGCTCCAACAAGCAGTTCGTCTTCACAGTAGAGCCTCAGATCATGTTGCAGACCAGTTCAGACGCAGTTGGTTGATGCCCTATGGATATCCTTTGGTCTGCGAAGTTGATGCTGATGGAGCCTTTGAAGGCGACTTTAGAACTGCCTTGGAAGATGCTGGAGTTCACTATGTGGTGATACCTCCTGAAGCGCATTGGCGCATAGGAACTGTCGAGAGGAGGAATGCAGTTCTTCGAACAGCTGCTGAACGTTTGATTGATGAGAATGCTGTGACCAATGGCGAGGGCGTTGATTGGATTTTGATATCAACTGTCCAAGCCTTGAACAGCAGCACAGCCACCAAGGGACGCAGCCCCTATCAGGCCGTTTTTGGTCGACTTCCACGTTTTCCTGGCGACCTGATGAGTGATGATCGTGCAATGATTGTTTCAGATCATCAAATGCTTGCTGAAGAACTTCGACAACAAGCCTTGCGAGTCATCAGCGAGACCAGAGCGTCCCAAGTCATTCGAAGAGCCTTGCTTCGAAAGACCAAGCCCAACAAGGAGGAGTCTCAGGCCATTTTGCCTGGAAGCCTTGCTGCCTACTGGCGATGGACCAAACGAGCTGCCGGCAAGAAGAAGGGTGGCTACGTTCTGGGCAAACTTCTCCATCATGATGCCGATGGCAAATCTGCATGGATCCAAGCTGGATCTTCTGCAGTTCAAGTGACCTATGAGCAGCTGCGCCCCACGTATGGACTTGAAGCGTGGAACCCTGACATGGAGGACATTCGGCTTTTGAAGAATGCTGAGAAGAACCTCATGCAGGGCATGTGGAAAGACCATCGGGGACCACCTCCACCAGAAGATGAACCGATGGAACCTGACCTAGCGGTTGAGGCTGAAGATGAAGAGATGGGCGAAGCCATGGCAATTGAGCCTGGACTCTTGCTTGGAGAGCCACAACCTTCTTTTGTTCCTGAGCCTCCTGTTTTGCCAGTTCCACTTCATCATCCTTCTATGCTTCAACAACCAATGGCGATGAACTACTCTCCAGTGTACAACCAGCGCATTCGCCAAGATGTTCAGAATTTTCTTCCTTTCGAGATGGACCAGAGGAATGTTCGACCTCGACTTCATGAAGATTTGGATGTGCAACCTTCACCCACATCACCATTGTCTGATATACAACCACCACCATTATTATCAGCACCACATTCATCACAACATAATTTATTACCACCATCAATTCCAAGTCCTGAACATTCACAACATCTTGAAGTACCAGCTCTTCAAGCCGAACCTCTGCCAGCACCATCAGATGCAATTCCTTCAGAACCACATGAAGTGATTCCACCACCACCTGAAGTTGCAGCAGCTGATGTTGCCATTCCAATTGACAGCTCAAGCAATGGCCTTGCCAGCTCACAACCAACAGTTCGCGTTTCTGAGAACTCTTCAGGACCACCATCAACCGCTGATGACCAACCACTTCACCTTTGTGGTTCAGCAGGTCCCTGAAGAGCCCTACTACACGTTTGAACGTGTTGAGGACGGGTGGGATGGCAATGTGAAAGCCATTTCTCCTTTGACCTCCACAGCCTTTCGTGTGGCTGCAGCCAAGGTCGAGAACGAAGAGATGTCTAGTGATTCATCAGATGATGAGCAATCACCAACGATGGAACGTCTTTCGAGACAAGAACGGAAAGCCATGGATCGAGAAATTCCCTGGCGAGTGATTTTGGAAAGCCCTCCTGAGACTGTCGAGCTCTACGTTGAGGCCAACCGCAAAGAATTTGCCAGCTGGCTGAGTTGGGGCTGTATCGCTCCTTTGAAGCCCGACAAGATCAAGGAGATCAAAGCAACTCCTTCTTTGCGACGGAGAATCATTCCATCACGCAATGCCTATCGAGACAAGAACCGTGGAGCTGGACCCACTGTTCGTGCAAGATGTCGCACAGTGGTGCTTGGATGCCAAGACCCAGATTTGGCTACCCTAGCCCGAAGCTCACCAACACCTTCCAAAACAGCAGAAATGATTCTTTTGCAGATAGCAGTGTCTGGCATGAATCAACTTGTGGAGCTCACCAACAAGAAATGGAAGTTGTGGAGTGGAGACGTAAGTACAGCGTTTCTGCAAGGCACTCCTGAGCCTCGAAGCCAGCCACTGTTCATGCGCGCACCACGCGATGGAATCCAGAAGCTTGCCAACACTTTCCCGGACGAGCTCTACGAGGTGTGCGGAAATCTTTATTGATTTGCTTCAGCACCACGCACCTGGTGGACCAATGTTTTAGGTACCACAAAGAAGCATGCCTTTTTCCAGCACCGCTATGACAGATGCTTCCTGATCAAGCGCGATGCCGAAGAGCGCCTGTTGGTCGTCATGATCATCCATGTGGACGACTTTTTGGCGGCCTTCCGGGAAGACTATGATGTAAGCGAGCTTGAGCAGATGTTCACCTGGGGTTCAACAACCTTGCTGACCGAGGACAACTGCATTGTTTTTTGTGGAAAAGAGATCCGAATGAAGAATATGCAGGGCAAGATCACTTTGCATGTGACACAGCAAGCCTTCATCGATGAGATGAGCACCGGCAAGCTTGGCCGTGGCAGATTGGTCAGCGAAGAGTTGAACACAGCTGACTGGAGTGAGTTCAGATCAGTTGCGGGCTCACTGCAATGGCTGGGTGGACAGACCCGTCCAGACCTCTGTTCAGCTGTGAGCTTGGCTAACAGGGGAAAAGAGACAACCTTGCAGAACCTCAAGAAGCTGTTTGAGTACATTGAGATTGCCAAGAAGACCAAAGACGTAGGTCTATGCTTCCATCCTGTGCCCTTCAACAAGGCCTCGATGATTGTGGGGTATGGTGATTCGAGCTGGGCAAACGCCCCTGGTGGCAAATCTCAGATGGGCAGCTTGGTGCTCTTTGCTTCACCTGACTGCTTGGAGCACAAGAGCTACGTCAGCATCTTGGACTGGAAGAGTGCAAGATCCCCAAGAGTGACACGATCCACTCTTGCAAGTGAAGCCAATGCGATGGATGAGACAGTGGATAGGGCGACCTACATAAATTACTTCATCACTGCTTTGCTCTATGGCCCCACCGCCACTGGGAAACCTCACCCTGAGAGAGCCTTGCGTCAAGTTCAGTGTACAGATTGTAAGTCGCTGTATGATGCTGTCATTTCAGAAAACCCTTCCACAACAGAGAAGCGGACCATGATAGCAATTAGATCCATCCAAGACTTCATTTGTGAAGATGATTGCCGTTGGGTGCCAACAACGGTCATGTGGGCTGATTGTCTTACCAAAGAAGACAAGGAGCTCTGCGCTGCATTTCAAGATTGGCTAAGGCACCCATATGTAGCATTGGTCGACGAAAACAAAATACTCCAGTGTGAATTCCATTCTGATCATTCATGTTGTGCTTTTGGACCCTGTCTGCACATGAACCATTCGCCGACCGATGCCATCACATTTTCACATCTCAATGGGATCATCAGCGGATCCCTTGAGCATAGCAATTTCGCAATGCAACGACCTGCAGGTCGATAAACGCCATGGAGGCATTTGCCACTTGCGTGTGAAAACAGCCGTTTGCACCATTTGCTCTGCCGAACAGCTGTTCACCAGACTAAAACCCGCCGCACATGAAAAAAACACACAGACACAAATACCCTGAAATTGCCGTTCGTGGGGGACACTGATCATAAGTTCGTGGACCCGGCCCTGCCAACATTTCCAGAGACACCCATATGGGTCTTACATCTGTGTCCTGACTTCCCAGACTTGGTTTAAAAGGACAAAAAAATACAGGTTTCACACGTATATCTGCGGGTAAAGGCCAGGGTTTCCAGTTTCAAACATCACAGCAAAACCAATCCATGAGTATGCCTGGGGGCTATTTCAGAATTAGCATGTATTGTTGGTAGATAGACACAAGTAAGTAGCTGGGACAACCCAAATATATCCAAATATATCATGTGGTTCTTACCCGTAGCAGCCCCCAAAAAGATGTAGAAATTTGCCAAAATCCTAATAATATAATTCCACCTTTTCTGCATGTTTATCATCTTTCTGGCGTTGAAATAGTCAAGAATATTCAAGAATTAAATATCTTCTACTACAGTAATGGAAACAATAGTCGTACATTCAAGATATTCAAGATCTAGTAAAGTCAACTTATACAGCAATAACCAACTTCGCTATAAATCGATGAACTCACTCATACATCCAGTCATTTTTCTCTGTCTGTCGTTTTATCCAAGGCCATGGATTGGCAACCCTGAGCCACCGCAGGAGAGTTGGGCATTTCCGGGACAGGGGATTTCACCGGGAATTTTCACTGGGGCGGGAGGGAAAAAAATGGGATGTAACATGATGTAACCATGTAACTAAGGACTCATTGTCATTATAATTAGTTCAAATTCGAGGGAAAAGTGAGTTCGGCGGGGTATGGACTGAAGCACACAATTGATGAGGTAGAAAATCGCATCCTCATAGAACCTGATCCAGTTTGTTTTGTCAAGAAAGGTGGCAGAGTTTTGCCCCAACAGTATCTAAGATTTGGATAGATTTGGGTTGATGAGGACTTCCAAACACGCACTTTTTCGTCGGGCACGGCCCACTTAGGTGTTTTTGATACGAGGCACAGCCCATCCCTTGCCCAAATCGATCTACCGCAGGATCCAATCAAGGTGTCGGCGGGTGGAGATCTACACATATATCATGACAACTTGCAAGTGGGGATTGCTTTCATGGGTGAATCATCGCAAATTCTCGAAGCAACACATGTTTCACATCTTTTAAAGCAAGCTGTAAAATGCCGGGGCCATTTACCATTTTTTCCCACATTTCTCACATGATCTTGCAGATCTGAACACAACGAACTACAGGTTACAGTGGGTTACAGGATGGAGGTGTGCTTCCTCACCTCAGGTGCTGAGCTGACAGTCCTTGCACCTGATGCATTTGAAGGAAAAACTGCCAAGGCTGTGAAGCAAGTCTTGGCAGTTCAGATTGATGTCACCGTTTTTAGACAAAGACTCTTTTCAGAAGATGGTTCCGAGATTCCGGATGATGCGATTTTTGCTGCTCCGGTGAAGCTTATGATTGTGATCTTGGATTTTTTCCAAACTGATGCTCAGCACACCCAACGCATGATCTCTGCATCCATCAACAATGATTTGATTGAACTTGAGAGTTTGCTGAAAAAACCATTGAATCCAAATGTGAGAGATGAAAATGGCACAACACCGTTGCACTGTGCCGCAGAAAGAGGACATGTTGAAAGCCTGCGGTTGTTGATTGAAGCAGGTGCTGAAAAAGATGCACGAGACCAAGGACCTGAAGGGATGATGCCATTGCATGGCGCAACGCCATTGTTGATCGCAGCCGAGAACGGCCATTTTGACGTCGTTCGTCATCTGGTGGAAGTTGGTGCCCACAAAGATCAAGCCAGGAACGATGGCACAACGCCATTGTTCATCGCAGCTCAGGAAGGCCATCTTGATGTCGTTCGACATCTGGTGGAAGTTGGTGCCCACAAAGATCAAGCCACGAACGATGGCAAAACGCCATTGTTCATCGCAGCTGAGAACGGCCATATTGATGTCGTTCGTCATCTGGTGGAAGTTGGTGCCCACAAAGATCAAGCCACGAACGATGGCGAAACGCCATTGTTCATCGCAGCACAGGAAGGCCATTTTGACGTCGTTCGTCATCTGGTGGAAGTTGGTGCCCACAAAGATCAAGCCACGAACGATGGCGAAACGCCATTGTTCATCGCAGCACAGGAAGGCCATTTTGACGTCGTTCGTCATCTGGTGGAAATTGGTGCCAACAAAGATCAAGCCACGAACGATGGCAGAACGCCATTGTTCATCGCAGCCGAGAACGGCCATATTGATGTCGTTCGTCATCTGGTGGAAGTTGGTGCCCACAAAGATCAAGCCACGAACGATGGCGCAACGCCATTGTTCATCGCAGCACAGCAAGGCCATGTTGATGTCGTTCGTCATCTGGTGGAAGTCGGTGCCCACAAAGATCAAGCAAGGAAGGATGGCGCAACGCCATTGTTCATCGCAGCTGCGAACGGCCATTTTGACGTCGTTCGTCATCTGGTGGAAGTTGGTGCCCACAAAGACCAAGCCGCGAACGATGGTGCAACGCCATTGTTCATCGCAGCTGAGTACGGCCATATTGATGTCGTTCGTCATCTGGTGGAAATTGGTGCCCACAAAGATCAAGCCGCGAACGATGGCACAACGCCATTGTTCATCGCAGCTGCGAACGGCCATATTGATGTCGTTCGTCATCTGGTGGAAGTTGGTGCCCACAAAGACCAAGCCGCGAACGATGGCGCAACGCCATTGTTCATCGCAGCTGCGAAAGGCCATATTGATGTCGTTCGTCATCTGGTGGAAGTTGGTGCCCACAAAGATCAAGCCACGAACGATGGCGCAACGCCATTGTTCATCGCAGCTGCGAAAGGACATATTGATGTCGTTCGTCATCTGGTGGAAGTTGGTGCCCACAAAGATCAAGCAAGGAAGGATGGCACAACGCCATTAATCATTGCAGCACAGCAAGGCCATCTGGACGTCGTTCGTCATTTGGTGGAAGTTGGTGCCCACAAAGATCAAGCCACGAACCGTGGCACAACGCCATTGTTCATCGCAGCACAGCAAGTCCATATTGATGTCGTTCGTCATTCGGTGGAAGTTGGTGCCCAAAATGAAGCAACCATGGATATTGGGGTAACAGCCTTACATGCTGCGGCAGAAATTGGCCATGTTGAAATTGTTCGTTTTCTGATTGAAAGAGGTGCAGATGGTCACGCAACTACAAGCTGTGGAAGGACTGCTCTGGATCTGGCATCTCAAGGCGGTCATTCTGAGGTGGTCCGTTTCCTGGCAAAGATCCGGAGCGAATCGCCAAGCAAAATTCCAAGGCTTGGTTGAGAGACATCATGTGAGAGCAAAGAAGTTCCAGCAGCCGGCTCACCTTGGTGGCTTTTAAAGACAGACTTGTCAGACTTGTCAAAAAGGAATTCCAAAAGATCACCCTTTCCTCAAACGTCTGTGGAGATGGTTTCTGTGATGCCCAAATATCATAGGCTTCTTGCAAGTTGCCTGCATCAATCCCTAGACCCAACTCTTTTTGGAAGCTTGAGTTTGGTGCAGAACAAATGTCTCGGTGGTATTTAGAGGAAAAGTATTGAGTTTGTTGCAGTGATCTTGCTCCCATCTGCTTCTACAGTGGGTCCAATGTTCGAACCAAACACGATTGCCTTTCAGTCTTTGATCGTACTGGTTGCTCCAAATTTCTTAGGACTAAGTGCCACAAGGGGAAAATGGATTCATGTGAGCCCCTTACCCCAGTGCTCCATGGTGCTGGAATATTTACAAGCAAAATTCCCCCCAAAATAGCCCAGTTATTTACGTCAACATTCACCATGGAGCATATGGGATAGTTATACCCCCGCAAACCAGAAGGTATCCCCACATTACTATGTATATATGCTCATGGACTGGTTGGTGAAATCCCATTAAGTGCCATTAAATCCCACTAAATGGCTGTTAAATTCAAAGAATCCTCCCTTCTTGGTATCTGGGGTGTTAGGTTCCGAAGCCCACACCGACGCAAGGAGGCTGCGGTGCTACCCTGCTATCTGCACCTCTTCCAAATGCTGCAGGCGTGCCTTGGACAGATTTGCATGGTTGCAAAACATGGAGATTGCACCCAGGAAAAGTGGAAGTTGAAACTTTGAAATCCAGATTTCATCATCAATCTGGGGATTTATATAATTACTACAAGAAGCAGCCGAAAACGGCTTAACATAGCCAACAAAAGACGCAGAGAACTTGGGAAACCACGAAGGTGCAATGATTTAGTGAGCCTTGGACCATCTGGGATAAACTTGTGGAAAAAGTTAACGGGAAGCTGAAAGATTGGAACCCCAGCTTTGTTTTGTTTCCCATTTTCCCATATGGAGTCTGAAATGATGGACGTTGTTGGGAACTGAGGGAAGTTGAAGGGCTCAAACCCTAGGCCCAGTGGTGAACAAAAAAAACGTTTTTCTGTGGCTCATCTTCTAAATGTGAATTCCATTCTGATCATTCATGTTGTGCTTTTGGACCCTGTCTGCAAATGAACCATTCGCCGACCGATGCCATCACATTTTCACATCTCAATGGGATCATCAGCGGATCCCTTGAGCATAGCAATTTCGCAATGCAACGACCTGCAGGTCGATAAACGCCATGGAGGCATTTGCCACTTGCGTGTGAAAACAGCCGTTTGCACCATTTGCTCTGCCGAACAGCCGTTCACCAGTTGGTAGAGCGGAGCCCTGAACCAGGGCAAAGACCATGCCGATCTGGTCAGGGATGCCACGTCAGTTTGGTCCAAAGCTACGAGCCCAATATGCAGCTGCTAGTGAATATAGCTTGTCCCTTCATGATGACTGCAGTGGATCAGCTGGTGAAATTGACGACCCTGATGCCAGTTACACTGATTGGTTTCAGGTTGACGACGACGACAATCCTGGCATGACTCGTTGGGTGTGCGTAGAATGTGGGAAGAGTAGTTTTGTGTGGAACGTGATAGCCGAGAACTGGACATGCATGGAATGTCATGGAGATCAGTTTTATGATGCCACGCGACCTGCAAGACACCACACACAACATGGTACATGGGTCTACATGCCTCATGATTCGCAGAGCCCTGTGAAGACGCCATCATCACATAAGACTGGAAGGCGAAAGGCGAGACGCCGTCGGCGACACCCTGCCGATCCACCTGATGATTTGATTGGCGACGGACAGGAAGAGACTGCTGAGTCTGAAGTTGCCACCAATGACCCAGTAATTGATGTGACACCAGCTGGATCAGTGCCTGTGCGGGGACGACCACATCGAGCAGAAGCAATTCAGCCGCGTGTGGATGATCCTATTCAAGCATTGACTGCAGCACTCCAACAACTGGCAAATGCACAGACTAACCGGAGTTCAACCTCTAGTGATTCCTGGATCAGTGCTATGGGACCTCAACGTGGTGTGAAGTTTCGTGGAGGTGCACCACCGCAACCGCCTGCATGGAGCTATTCTGCCTCTGACATTCGTGCTTATGAGAAGTATGAGAGAAAGGTCAAGGTTTGGGAGTTGCAGGTTAAGCACTATATGACTGACGCTGAGGCTGCCCTCACTCTTTTCACTTCCTTGCGTGGTGAAGCTGAGCAGGAATTGGAATTTGTGGATGTCAACACCATCTACCGTAAGGGTGGTGTGGATACCATTCTGAGCCAGTTGAAACAAGCCTTTCAGCAGAAAACAGTGTACGTCAAGCGACAGTATCTGCACGAATATGAGTCTATCGGTAGGTATCCAGGAGAATCACTCCGAGCCTTCATCAATCGATATCGTCGTGCAGAAGCTTCCTTAAGTTGCGTGCAATCAACATAGATATCAGTCTGACATACGATGATGAGAGTCGCGGTTCACTGTTGCTGGATCGAGCCCGACTGACCACTGAGCAGCAGAGGTTGATTTTGGTAGGTCCAGGTGAAGCCCTTTCATTTGATGCCATTCGTGCGGCACTCATGCTTCAGTTTCCGGAGCACAAGCCGACACCTCCTGTTGCTGGCCGTGAATCCAACAATGCTCCATATCAGCCTAAGGGATCTGGAAAGAATCACCAAGGTTCTACTTCGACTTCCTCATCCTCTACATCCTCAACTGGAGGTGGAAAGGGGAAGGGTTCTGGAAAGGGACCACGAAGAGTGTATCAGACTGAGACTATTCAAGAAGGTGATGAGAATGAGGAACAGGCAGAAGAAGGTGACAACGAATTCCCCGCTGATGACCAGCCTGAGGAACAAGGGGATCCTGAATGTGAAGACGCAGAAGCAGAAGTACAAGAAGAGGATGCTGCCAATTTGGCTGAAGTTCTCACCGTCACTGCTCGAAAGTTGGCGAATGTCACGCAGGGCAGGAAATACTCAGGTCAGCCAAAGAAGAGCACCCAGGAGAAGAAACGGACTTCTATGTGTGCAGCCTGTGGCATCAAAGGCGATTGGGCTGGTGACCCAGAATGCGAGATGACACCGAACCAGCAGACAGACTCAAAGACTACATCCTCCAGTTTCACTTCATCCCAAAAGCAAAAAGGCCGTGAGGATTCGAGCAGTTCTGCCAAAAAGGTGATGACCGTTCACCACAGCTCAGGGTATGACACCACCGTCGAATACATGCCACCTCATGAACAACCTCATCCACATTTTGCTATGGTTTGCACTTTGCCACATGTTTGCCTGAGCACTTCAACATCTAAGACTTTTGGTTTCATGATCATTGACACGGCCTGCCAACGTTCTTGCTGTGGAAAGTCATGGGCATCACTGCAGGCCGAACATTTGGAGTCCTTCCGCCTCAAGATTCATCACGAGGCCAGCTCTGAGCGGTTTCAGTTTGGAGCAGGACCCCCAATGGTTTCTTTGGAGAAGATTTGGATGCCCAGTTCAATTCAAGGCTGCTGTTTGATTTTGGGAGTCGATGTGATTGATGCCAATATTCCTTTTCTTGGAAGTCTTCGTTTGCTGAAGCGTTTGGGTGCAGTGATTGATTTGAATCAGCATGTCGTTCACTTCAACAAGTTGCATGTCACCACATCTCTTTCACGTGTTGATGGACACCTTGCGATTCGAATAGATGAGTTTCCACATTCACCCAATCGTCTTCGCATTTGGTCCATGATTGCTGATGCTGGTTTTCATGATCCTGAAGTTGCCACAGTCTTGACACTTGAGCAAGCGGCCGACGACACTGCTGTGAACTCTCAAGCAATTCGTCCGCTACCTGAGCCAACTCACCATGGATTTCAACCCTGTTGTGAGGAAGCGATGGAAGCGCCTCAGTGCCAAGCTGCTGGATTTCGGCAAGAACTTGGCTGTTCAGCTATTCCAGGCATTTCGTCTGGGAGTCATGGACAAGAAGACATACATGAACTATCTCCAGGAGAAGGACAACGCCCCTGTCAAGAACCGCGGCACCAAAGCAAGCGCGAAGACAGCGGCCCAGGAACATCAACAGAACCTCCAAAGAGATTGCCAACACCTGGAGTTCAAAAGGCACGGGAACCGCCACGGAAGCTATGCGACGTGCCTCAGATGCAAAGCCAGATGGCTGTGGGACGGAACCGGATGGAAGTTGCATGGCTGCTCCTCCAGATTGTTGCTGCCTCCGCCATCTTTCTTGACGACGGTGGACGGTTCCATTCCAGCCCCAGCATCACAGGCGGATTATCTGCCCCTGGAAGCACTTGCCAGCAAGGCCAAACCCAAGCCTGGTTCGGGAACGAGGCAACCAAAGACAAGATCCAGGCCACCTTCTATGACATCCTCAGCGGCAGGCCATCTGCTCCGAGAGGAGGAACTCCAGGATGTGGATCAGGACATGGATCTACTTAGCCTATACAGCTGGTCGGACGTCGCAAGCGATTGACTGGTGATTTGAAGAAGAACATCAAGACCCTGGAGGCCGAGTTGCACGTCATGCAGCACATGCCATTCGAGCGCAACAACAAGAAGAATGCTGTTGATGTTTTTGAGCTGTTTGCTGGATCAGCCAAAGCAACTCGTATGGCAGGTCAGTATGGACTCAATGCCCTGGAACCCATCGACAAGAACGATGGCAAGGACCTCCAGGATCCAGTCATTCAGAGGATGGTTGAAGAGGCCATCGATCGCTTTTCGCCGCTCCTGCTGCTCATTGGATTTCCTTGCACCTTTTGGAATCTGATGAATGAAAACTGCAACTACAGCTGGAGAATGCATGAACTTGAAGCTTTGCGTGAACTTGAAAGACCTCTCCTTCGCTGGGTTGCAGACCGAATCAAACAACAGGCTTCGGCTGGCAGGTTCTTTGCCTTGGAGAACTCTGCCAAAAGCAGAATTTGGGATGAGCCTCCAGTGATTGAGCTCATGGACTTCAAGAACAGCCGATGATGCTGAAGAACAGGAAGGTCCTCATCTGCCGGTCCCTGGACTTAAGACCGATGCGACCTTCCCTGGCGCTTCAAAGACTTTGCCAGCAGCAGTCAAGGCCTCAGTGGCTCGACTTCACCTCAACACTGGCCATGCCCATAAGAAGGAGCTCATTCGACTTCTCTCCTCCTATGGGTCAATCAATTCAGCCACTTTGACTGCCATCAATCACATGGTTTGTGGTTCATGTGAACGAACCAAGCCACCAGCACCTCCTCGCCCAGCATCCATTCCACAGTTCATGGGCCAATTTGGAGAACGAGTTCAGGTTGACATTGTCTACATCCGAGATCTTTCTGGATCGAATCATCCTGTGCTCGGAATGGTTGACATGGCCACCCTGCTCCAACAAGCAGTTCGTCTTCACAGTAGAGCCTCAGCTCATGTTGCAGACCAGTTCAGACGCAGTTGGTTGATGCCCTATGGATATCCTTTGGTCTGCGAAGTTGATGCTGATGGAGCCTTTGAAGGCGACTTTAGAACTGCCTTGGAAGACGCTGGAGTTCACTATGTGGTGATACCTCCTGAAGCGCCTTGGCGCATAGGAACTGTGGAGAGGAGGAATGCAGTTCTTCGAACAGCTGCTGAACGTTTGATTGATGAGAATGCTGTGACCAATGGCGAGGGCGTTGATTGGATTTTGATATCAACTGTCCAAGCCTTGAACAGCAGCACAGCCACCAAGGGACGCAGCCCCTATCAGGCCGTTTTTGGTCGACTTCCACGTTTTCCTGGCGACCTGATGAGTGATGATCGTGCAATGATTGTTTCAGATCATCAAATGCTTGCTGAAGAACTTCGACAACAAGCCTTGCGAGTCATCAGCGAGACCAGAGCGTCCCAAGTCATTCGAAGAGCCTTGCTTCGAAAGACCAAGCCCAACAAGGAGGAGTCTCAGGCCATTTTGCCTGGAAGCCTTGCTGCCTACTGGCGATGGACCAAACGAGCTGCCGGCAAGAAGAAGGGTGGCTACGTTTTGGGCAGACTTTACCATCATGATCCCGATGGCAAATCTGCATGGATCCAAGCTGGATCTTCTGCAGTTCAAGTGACCTATGAGCAGCTGCGCCCCACGTATGGACTTGAAGCGTGGAACCCTGACATGGAGGACATTCGGCTTTTGAAGAATGCTGAGAAGAACCTCATGTAGGGCATGTGGAAAGACCATCGGGGACCACCTCCACCAGAAGATGAACCGATGGAACCTGACCTAGCGGTTGAGGCTGAAGATGAAGAGATGGGCGAAGCCATGGCAATTGAGCCTGGACTCTTGCTTGGAGAGCCACAACCTTCTTTTGTTCCTGAGCCTCCTGTTTTGCCAGTTCCACTTCATCATCCTTCTATGCTTCAACAACCAATGGCGATGAACTACTCTCCAGTGTACAACCAGCGCATTCGCCAAGATGTTCAGAATTTTCTTCCTTTCGAGATGGACCAGAGGAATGTTCGACCTCGCCTTCATGAAGATTTGGACGTGCAACCTTCACCCACATCACCATTGTCTGATATACAACCACCACCATTATCAGCACCACATTCATCACAACATAATTTATTACCACCATCAATTCCAAGTCCTGAACATTCACAACATCTTGAAGTACCAGCTCTTCAAGCCGAACCTCTGCCAGCACCATCAGATGCAATTCCTGCAGAACCACATGAAGTGATTCCACCACCACCTGAAGTTGCAGCAGCTGATGTTGCCATTCCAATTGACAGCTCAAGCAATGGCCTTGGCAGCTCACAACCAACAGTTCGCGTTTCTGAGAACTCTTCAGGACCACCATCAACCGCTGATGACCAACCACTTCACCTTTGTGGTTCAGCAGGTCCCTGAAGAGCCCTACTACACGTTTGAACGTGTTGAGGACGGGTGGGATGGCAATGTGAAAGCCATTTCTCCTTTGACCTCCACAGCCTTTCGTGTGGCTGCAGCCAAGGTCGAGAACGAAGAGATGTCTAGTGATTCATCAGATGATGAGCAATCACCAACGATGGAACGTCTTTCGAGACAAGAACGGAAAGCCATGGATCGAGAAATTCCATGGCGAGTGATTTTGGAAAGCCCTCCTGAGACTGTCGAGCTCTACGTTGAGGCCAACCGCAAAGAATTTGCCAGCTGGCTGAGTTGGGGCTGTATCGCTCCTTTGAAGCCCGACAAGATCAAGGAGATCAAAGCAACTCCTTCTTTGCGACGGAGAATCATTCCATCACGCAATGCCTATCGAGACAAGAACCGTGGAGCTGGACCCACTGTTCGTGCAAAATGTCGCACAGTGGTGCTTGGATGCCAAGACCCAGATTTGGCTACCCTAGCCCGAAGCTCACCAACACCTTCCAAAACAGCAGAAATGATTCTTTTGCAGATAGCAGTGTCTGGCATGAATCAACTTGTGGAGCTCACCAACAAGAAATGGAAGTTGTGGAGTGGAGACGTAAGTACAGCGTTTCTGCAAGGCACTCCTGAGCCTCGAAGCCAGCCACTGTTCATGCGCGCACCACGCGATGGAATCCAGAAGCTTGCCAACACTTTCCCGGACGAGCTCTACGAGGTGTGCGGAAATCTTTATGGATTTGCTTCCGCACCACGCACCTGGTGGACCAATGTTTTAGGTACCACAAAGAAGCATGCCTTTTTCCAGCACCGCTATGACAGATGCTTCCTGATCAAGCGCGATGCCGAAGAGCGCCTGTTGGTCGTCATGATCATCCATGTGGACGACTTTTTGGCGGCCTTCCGGGAAGACTATGATGTAAGCGAGCTTGAGCAGATGTTCACCTGTGGTTCAACAACCTTGCTGACCGAGGACAACTGCATTGTTTTTCGTGGAAAAGAGATCCGAATGAAGAATATGCAGGGCAAGATCACTTTGCATGGGACACAGCAAGCCTTCATCGATGAGATGAGCACCGGCAAGCTTGGCCGTGGCAGATTGGTCAGCAAAGAGTTGAACACAGCTGACTGGAGTGAGTTCAGATCAGTTGCGGGCTCACTGCAATGGCTGGGTGGACAGACCCGTCCAGACCTCTGTTCAGCTGTGAGCTTGGCTAACAGGGGAAAAGAGACAACCTTGCAGAACCTCAAGAAGCTGTTTGAGTACATTGAGATTGCCAAGAAGACCAAAGACGTAGGTCTATGCTTCCATCCTGTGCCCTTCAACAAGGCCTCGATGATTGTGGGGTATGGTGATTCGAGCTGGGCAAACGCCCCTGGTGGCAAATCTCAGATGGGCAGCTTGGTGCTCTTTGCTTCACCTGACTGCTTAGAGCACAAGAGCTACGTCAGCATCTTGGACTGGAAGAGTGCAAGATCCCCAAGAGTGACACGATCCACTCTTGCAAGTGAAGCCAATGCGATGGATGAGACAGTGGATAGGGCGACCTACATAAATTACTTCATCACTGCTTTGCTCTATGGCACCACCGCCACTGGGAAACCTCACCCTGAGACAGCCTTGCGTCAAGTTCAGTGTACAGATTGTAAGTCGCTGTATGATGCTGTCATGTCAGAAAACCCTTCCACAACAGAGAAGCGGACCATGATAGCAATTAGATCCATCCAAGACTTCATTTGTGAAGATGATTGCCATTGGGTGCCAACAACGGTCATGTGGGCTGATTGTCTTACCAAAGAAGACAAGGAGCTCTGCGCTGCATTTCAAGATTGGCTAAGGCACCCATATGTAGCATTGGTCGACGAAAACAAAATACTCCAGTGTGAATTCCATTCTGATCATTCATGTTGTGCTTTTGGACCCTGTCTGCACATGAACTATTCGCCGACCGATGCCATCACATTTTCACATCTCAATGGGATCATCAGCGGATCCCTTGAGCATAGCAATTTCGCAATGCAACGACCTGCAGGTCGATAAACGCCATGGAGGCATTTGCCACTTGCGTGTGAAAACAACCGTTTGCACCATTTGCTCTGCCGAACTGCCGTTCACCAGACTAAAACCCCCCGCACATGAAAAAAACACACAGACACAAATACCCTGAAATTGCCGTTCGTGGGGGACACTGATCATAAGTCCGTGGACCCGGCCCTGCCAACATTTCCAGAGACACCCATATGGGTCTTACATCTGTGTCCTGACTTCCCAGACTTGGTTTAAAAGGACAAAAAAATACAGGTTTCACACGTATATCTGCGGGTAAAGGCCAGGGTTTCCAGTTTCAACCATCATAGCAAAACCAATCCATGAATATGCCTGGGGGCTATTTCAGAACTAGCATGTATTGTTGGTAGATAGACACAAGTAAGTAGCTGGGACAACCCAAATATATCATATGGTTCTTACCCGCAGCAGCCCCAAAAAAATGTAGAATCTTGACAAAATCCCAATAATATAATCCCAATAATATAATTCCACCTTTTCTGCATGTTTATCATCTTTCTGGCGTTGAAATAGTCAAGAATATTCAAGAATTAAATATCTTCTACTACAATAATGGTAAACATCGTCGTACATTCAAGATCTAGTAAAGTCAACTTATACAGCAATAACCAACTTCGCTATAAATCGATGAACTCACTACATCCAGTATCATCCAGTCATTTTTCTCCGGCTGTCGTTTCATCCAAGGTCATGGATTGGCAACCCTGAGCCACCGCAGGAGACTTGGGCATTTCTGGGACAGGGAATTTCACTGGGAATTTCACTGGGGCGGGAGGTAGAAAAAAATGGGATGTAACATGATGTAACCATGTAACTAAGGACTCATTGTCATTATAATTAGTTCAAATTCGAGGGAAAAGTGAGTTCGGCGGGGTATGGACTGAAGCACACAATTGATGAGGTAGAAAATCGCATCCTCATAGAACCTGATCCAGTTTGTTTCGTCAAGAAAGGTGGCAGAGTTTTGCCCCAACAGTATCTAAGATTTGGATAGATTTGGGTTGATGAGGACTTCCAAACACGCACTTTTTCGTCGGGCACGGCCCACTTAGGTGTTTTTGATACGAGGCACAGCCCATCCCTTGCCCAAATCGATCTACCGCAGGATCCAATCAAGGTGTCGCGGGTGGAGATCTACACACATATCATGACATCTTGCAAGTGGGGATTGCTTTCGTGGGTGAATCATCGCAAATTCTCGAAGCAACACATGTTTCACATCTTTTAAAACAAGCTGTAAAATGCGGGGACCATTTACCATTTTTTCTCACATTTCTCACATGATCTTGCAGATCTGAACACAACTAACTACAGGTTACAGGTTGATGGAGGTGTGCTTCCTCACGTCAGGTGCTGAGCTGACAGTCCTTGCCCCTGATGAATTTGAAGGAAAAACTGCCAAGGCTGTGAAGCAAGTCTTGGCAGTTAAGATTGATGTCACCGTTTTTAGACAAAGACTCTTTTCAGAAGATGGTTCCGAGATTCCGGATGATGCGATTTTTGCTTCAGCTCCGGTGAAGCTTATGATTGTGATCTTGGATTTTTTCCAAACTGATGCTCAGCACACCCAACGCATGATCTCTGCATCCATCAACAATGATTTGATTGAACTTGAGAGTTTGCTGAAAAAACCATTGAATCCAAATGTGAGAGACGAACATGGCACAACACCGTTGCACTGTGCCGCAGAAAGAGGACATGTTGAAAGCCTGCAGTTGTTGATTGAAGCAGGTGCTGAAAAAGATGAAAGAGACGAAGGACCTGAAGGGATGATGCCATTGCATGGCGCAACGCCATTGTTCATCGCAGCCGAGAACGGCCATCTTGGTGTCATTCGTCATCTGCTGGAAGTTGGTGCCCACAAAGATCAAGCCACGAACGATGGCGCAACGCCATTGTTCATCGCAGCTGAGAACGGCCATATTGATGTCGTTCGTCATCTGGTGGAAGTTGGTGCCCACAAAGATCAAGCCACGAACAATGGCGCAACGCCATTGTTCATCGCAGCACAGGAAGGCCATCTGGACGTCGTTCGTCATCTGGTGGAAGTTGGTGCCCACAAAGATCAAGCCACGAACGATGGCACAACGCCATTGTACATCGCAGCACAGAACGGCCATGTTGATGTCGTTCGACATCTGGTGGAAGTTGCTGCCCTCAAAGATCAAGCCACGAACGGTGGCGCAACGCCATTGTTCATCGCAGCACAGCAAGGCCATCTGGACGTCGTTCGTCATCTGGTGGA